CCAGTGCGAGGCAGCGCAGGCCTGGCCTGCTCCGGGCTCGCAGCACGTCTGCTCAGTTTATCAGTCGGGGCTGCCCGGCGCCTCCCGCGGATCCTCTGCCGGCCCTTGCGGGCTCCGGGGCTGCCTCGCTTTTGCTTTGCTGGTCACTCTCGAGAGCCATGGGCTGGGCGGCGCCTCGGCTTCCACGTGCCTGTGCCCACCGGGCCTCTTCCCTGCTGGCCCCGCTGCTCCCGGCCCCGGGACTCGGGGTCATGTCAGCCAGGGCGTGGCCGCCGGGGGCTCCCGGCTCCTGCGTCTGCAGGCCGATGGCCTGTCCAGCGGCTGCCCTGCGGCCGTCTCCTTGGGGCGAGTCTTCACCCCAACCGTGTCCCGCCAGGCTCGTCTCCCCACATTTCGACTTGTTCTCTCCAGTCCCCTGGTCTTGCTCAAGGGCCCGCGCCAGCCCTCCACCCCTCAACATGGCGTCTGCCGGCGCCAGCGGGGTCGGCTGGCTTTGAGGGGCCGCTGTGGGCTGCCCAGCCCAGCGGCCTGGTCCCCGGGGCACAGAGCTGATTTTCACCTCAACACCCGGCACTGGGACACCGACTCCGTGACTACTGTCCACTCCGTCCAAGGTGTAGTCATGTCCACGGAAATGGCACCCTGGAGGCTGGCCCCGAGGGGAGCAGGGGCCGGCTGACTCGCCGCTGTGCCCCAAGGGGCCCACAAAGGTGACGAGTGTCACCCTGGGCGGGGGCACATGCAGGGCATGGCTCGGGCAGGACCCCACAAGTCCCAGCTCCCCACCTCAGGGTGACCCCGTGTGCGGCATCGCGGCCAGGCCTCTGAGTGCGGGGTGGGAGTGGGGGAGAGGGGGTGAGTGTGAGACCTGAGGGGGCGCCGGGCCCTGGCCCAGCTCTGTGCAGCTGGCCGGCTCAGACTTCCCTGGGGGGCTCGGGCCCTACCCTGTGGGGTCCCTCAGGCATCGTTTGCAGGCGCCTTGGGCTGCAGGCACCGACTGGCCAAACCCACGGGATCCCCAAGGAGACCAGAGGGAGCAGCAGATCAGCACGAGAGTTTATTGGGCACCCAGGGGTGCCGCAGGCGGGCGTGGACGCCAAGCGGCCGAGAGGAGAAGCACGGAGGGAAGGACACGGGACCCCGAGCAGGTGGGGGCCTCCCGGAGGGCAGGGGCCGGGGGCCAGAGCGTGGGGTGCTGGCCCCGGGAGGCCCGGTCAGGACCGTGGAGCCGTGGGGGACCCCGTCCTGAGGGGCAGCCACCCCAGCGGGGTCGGACCGGCCGCAGGGCAGCAGGGAGGCCTGCAGTCGTGGGGCGAACCCCAGGGGCACAGGCCGGTCAGCAGCAGGCGGGGCGCGGGCAGGCGGGCCGGCAGAGCAGGGACACGGAGGACGCCCCGCGGCCGCAGCTGGGCTGGCAGGAGGGGGCGCA